TGCCTCCTTCATCAGCTAAAGCCGTTCATGGCGTCTAATGAAAGGCATGTGGGGCTCTGCATTTTTGTCCTTTTGGTTTCACCTTCAATTTGTTTGTCCTTTTGAAATTTTTGATAATTTATTTTATTTTTGATTTTGAACTCGCGATATTAGATTTGATGTCGATAAATATTTTAACACTTTTTGTTAATGTGTATATTCATTGTCGCTAAAAATTATTCGTCATCTTTCCACTTCAACTAATTACAAGAGACGTATAGATAAGTTTAGCTTAGATAGAATTTTTTAACCATTTTAAATACATAAGATTCTAGTGCTTGTTAAGGAAATTACAACAGAATTATTTACATTAATCAAATTATCAAATCTATGATGTACAAGGTTTGGTGTTATTCAATAAGTATAATATAATATAAAATGATTAAAAAAGAAAAAACCACACCGTAGATCTAGTCTAACTGAATGCTCCATTAAAATTCGTGTCGAGATCCCATTTGTTAATGGGCAAGACAAAAACAAAAAAAATAAAGGAGTTGTGACAAAAATAAGGCAAGGGAAGTGTTCTTATCTTAACAAAACTTCATATGGCGTATTAACGGCAAAAACTAAAGATTTTTTTTAAAATCGTGAATAAGTGAAATTTTTTGTATTACAAAGTATGATTCTTATTGAATTAGTACGTTGAAAAAATGCATAGTGGAAAGCGAATTACTAAAATAGTAGGATAATTTCTATTTTTTTCGTATGTAAATATTATAGTACTATTTTTTTCCTCACCAATTCAATTAAAATATCAGTGAAAATAACCACTAAACATTTTCGACAGAAAAGTAAGATTTTTTTTAGTAGTGACTTAACTTACATCAAGCACAAAAAAGACATAAAGATGGTCACCCATCTCAAAATTTTGTATATAAAAAATCCCTCCCCACTCCCTCTAATACTAAAACTAGGAAAAACTAAAAAGAAATATTAGGAAGACCTCTATAGATTTTTGAAAATTTTATAGTACTTAATTAAAATGGAAGCAAAGTAAGTAGATCATGAACATGAATGATATAATTAATTTATCTTTCTTTTACTTCAAATTGATGTATTCTTTCTTTCAATATTCATATTAAATATATATCTACATAGTTTGGAGTCTCAACAAAGGGATTAACATGTCTCCATGAACTTAATCACTATATAAATAATCAAAGTTTTTTTCTTTTTTACAATTTTAAGAACTTGAGGGAGGACAAATGAAGTTTAGTGTAAATAAACTGACATTATAACAATTAAAAAGTAAACATAAAGAGGTCCATGTCAAGTTCTGGTTCTGGTCGGTGACATATGTCAGTTAGATACATATTTAATTAGTACTATATTTTATAAATGTCTTGACCATAAAAAACTCACCGGCCAGTTGGACAAATATTAATGGAACGTCAAAAAGTAAAAGTCCTACGTACAATGCACCCAAAGCTAACACTAAATTTAAAAAAGTCTCCTCTCCTATATTAATTAGGGAAAAAGGACAAATATACCCCTAAACTATCATAAATGATATACAGATATCCTCCGTCATATTTTTGGGACATTGGTGCCCCTGTCGTTAAAAAACTAGAGCATATATACCCTTTATACTAACGGACATACACATGTCATAATCTTATCCACCGATCGACATTTATTAAATATTGGATCGACGGATAAGATTGTGCCACGTGTCCCTATTTAGTCTTCCGTTAGAGTGAAGGACATATATGCTCTAGTTTTTGGGTGACAGGGGCACCAGTGTCCCAAAAGTATGATGGAGGGTATCTACATACCATTTACAATAGTTCGGGGGTATATTTATCCTTTTTCCCTATTAATTATATTTTCTCCGCTTCAATTTACTTGGCACTATTTAAGATGACACAAAGTTTAATAATTTTTTTTAAAAAGATGGTAATCTAAATGCAGCTTTAAATTATCTAATTAAGGGTAAAACGGTAATTTTTTTTAAATATGACACATTAATTGAGACAAGGAATATCTATCATCCGAAATGTGATGGGATGGATAAGATCCCAATGGCCAATATGCTCTTAGTTAAAAATATGGTGTTCGAGCTCTGAAAATAGGAAAGTTCCCGAAAGGGAGTATTTTCCTTTTTTAAAAATGAGTCAAAATACATGAGATACTAATTCAAAATAATTGAGATAGTGAGTTCAAAAATTAAATGCTTAAAGAAAAATGAAAAAAACTCATTTAGTATCTAGTCAAATAAAGGAAAAAAGACAACACCACATGAGATTTAGACCTTTATAAAAGCCATAGTAAGCCTACTCCAAAACCAAACAAGTCTCATTCTGAAGAAAATCAAACTCTTCTTTCCACACTTTGAAGCAAATTAAAGTTCCAAAAAATGGGAGATAATTACTCATCATCACATCCACCTTCAATACATTTATGTTTCTTCTTTCTTGTTCTCTTCATGTTTGTAAGTGTTACATGGTACATCAACTATGAGTCTATCTTTGAAGGCATTATGGATCAATTCAAGTTTCTTCTCATGTTGTCTCCATTAATACTACTATTAATTGTTCACTTACTTTCCAACTTTGAAAAATCTCTCATCTTCAATATTCCTTTGCCTGAACAAGACTCATTTCATAGAGCTGGTGCTACTCCTTGGGGAGTTGGATTTCTCCTTGTGCTTCTACTCTTCATGATTTCTTATCACTCTGATCTTCGCGAACGATGGTTTCCTCTTCTAAGTTGAAGAAGAGTATGTTATGAACGGTTACATGTAATTATCTTTTAGTTTGAGTAACGAAGACTTAAAAAGAGTTTTTGAGTACTGTCGAGAAGAGCCCTTGTGTATTTATTGTAACTGGGATGTTTAATTAGTGTTTTTCTTGTTATCTTTTCAATTAGTTTCTTCAATATTGGAAAGTTTGTTTTGTTTTTCATGTTGTGGTTATTTCTTAATAATTGTAGGGTTATGAATGTGTAAATAATCGTCATTTCTGGTTATTTATTGGTTGAACATTTTGGCAGCTATATTTCATTCAAGTACAAAGGAAAAAGAGACATTGAAAAAAGGGAAAAGGGTCAAAAATACCCCTCAACTTTGTTTTATTAGTTGACTTTACCCTCGCCGTTAAAATGAAGTTAATTTTACCCCTCCCGTTACTAATTTCACCAAATTTACCCCTCAATTGGATGGAAAACCCAAATCAACTAAAATTACTCAATTTCAATTAAATAACCCATTTTTTTTCTCTTTTTAATCCGAACCCAACCCATTTATACCAAATTAAAACCCCAAATCAAGCTCCGGCAATCCCCATTCATTTTCTCCGTTTTCCGGCTAAACACCACCAAAAACAACCTCCAAATGACCACCTGAAACCACCACTCAAAACCCCCAAAAACCATAAACGACATCAAGCTAGCAGAAAATATTAACAACCCATTTTCCTCTACTTTTCGGTGACGACAACAAGACATTTCTTCTCCATTTCCGGCCAGTTCCAAGCTGGAACAACATTAAGCAAACCACCCACCG